AGACTGACGTCTTTTCATTGGTCAGCCGGTTAGCGCGGTCGATGCTAATAATAAAAACACACACACACGCACAGACTGACGTCTTTTCATTGGTCAGCCGGTTAGCGCGGTCGATGCTAATAATAGTAGCACACACACGCACTGAGACTGACGTCTTTTCATTGGTCAGCCGGTTAGCGCGGTCGATGCTAATAATAAAAGCACACACACACACATGGACATCAATTTGAGAACAGTAATTAATTCAGGGGTCGGGCTGACAGGCGGTGTTATTCAACGTGCGCAGAACCCAGGCGGGGAAACAAAAGGACCCATCTAAAACAGTTTTTTGCGAAAAAAAATCTCCGCTATCGCTCCGTTTTTATTTTCGCACGCGCGCTTCGCGCGCGGAAAAAACTCCTACAAAAAACATGACATCACATACACGTACCACCTGTGGGAAAAAAACGGAAAATAATTGAAAACACAATAGATGTTTTTCCGCGTTTCACGGTCGATGCCGTCCGCATGCTCCGGTTTCGCTTCTCCGGTGCGGCTGTGGCCAGTCCTACAACGACCAAACTCGACCCGCTCCGCTTCGTACACGCTCTCGTTGCTGTCCTCCCGAGTCTGTTCCTCGCTTTCTCCGTCGTTGCACTTAGGGTTCTTGGTCAAAAAATTCTCGCGCCGAATTCAACCAGCCCAATCAGCTCGTCACCACCTGTCCCCTCCTCCTTTGATGGCAAAGCCAGGTTACTGAGACAGTACAGCTCCTTCTAGCAAACCTAGGGCTGTGTACATAGTGCCCGTCCTTCTTTCTGATGGCGTCTGCCTCCGCGCACAAAGATGAGGTGGGTATTGCTGCCTACACCGACGGCCTGGACGCCCGCGCATCTGCACCTTTGTACCTGACGCACCAGTGCCGACCCAACTCCACCACTTCTATGCACGCCTCGCGGCGGGTGCGCCGCAGCAAGAAGGCATCGGTCCCTTGAGGGTGAGTCTAGCCCTGCTCGCCAGAAAGACCCCCCCC